TTAGCCTTCAAAACTCCAGTGAATATAGTCCTGACCAGTCCAGTCTCTCTTCATACGTTAGTCCTGTTTTCCCATTGCCAGGAGTAGCCAGGAATGCAAATTTGAGGTTATTCTCAAAGCAACTGTGATCTTATAGAATGGTGGGGCAGGCTTAAGGATTTGAATGTCCTACAACTGCTCATTTTTCTATGGGAAGTATATTTTCCTTAGGTAAGGAGACCAAAGCTGCACGCAATTCTCCAGGTGTGGTCTTAGTAGGACTCTGTACATTTGCAGTAAAACTTCCTTGCTCCTGTATTAATTTTAATTAATTAATCCTAATTAATTTTAAATAATTAACTAAGTAGAGATGGCAGGCCAGGAGATGTGTTGTAGCTGTATGATGTGGGAGCTAGCTGATCCCATTGAGAACGGCAGTGACCACATCTGCAGCAAGTGTTGGCTGCTTGAGGAGATCCGGCTCAAAATTGATGAGCTGGGATCCGAACTCTGAACACTGCGGCACATCCGGGAGGGGGAGAATTAACTGGATACTGTGTTCCAGGAGGCAGTCACACCTGGTAGATTAACTAATGTTAATTCGATCGGCGGGCAGGGACAGTAGTGTGTGACTGCGAGTGAGGCAGGTAGAGGGACCCTGCGGACAGGAACACAGGAGCCACAGCCCTTGACATTGTCCCACAGGTATGAGGCACTTGCTCCCTGCATGGATGAGGAACAGGGCTGCAGGAAGGATGAGTCAACTGACCATGGCACCATGGTCCAGGAGGCCATTCAAGAGGGGGGAGCAAAAAGACATATTGTAGTTGTAGGGGATTCCATCATCAGGGCGATAGACAGTATCCTTTGCGAGCAGGATAGAGAATCCCGCATGGTGTGTTGCCTGCCCGGTGCCAGGATGCGAGACATCTCTGACTGGCTTGAGAGGATACTAGACAGGGAGGGGGAGGATCCAGTTGTTGTGGTCCATGTAGGTACCAACAACATAGGCAGGACTAGGAAAAAAGACCTGTTTCGGGATTATGAAAAGCTAGGAACAAAATTAAAAAACAGGTCTTCAAGGGTCATAATCTCTGGATTGCTGCCCGAGCCACGTGCAAATTGGCATAGGGAGGCGAGGATCAGAGAAGTAAACACGTGGCTAAAAGAGTGGTGTGGGAAAGAGGGTTTCCTTTTCATGGGGCACTGGCATCAGTTTTGGGACAGGAGAGATCTATACCGCTAGGATGGACTCCACCTGAACAGGGCCGGGTCCAGTGTTCTGGCGAAAAGGGTAAATAGGGTGATTAATAGGACTTTAAACTAGTAAGTAGGGGGGAAGGGAGAAGTGAGCGTAGAGGGAGAATAACAATTAATGTAAGGCAAAGCAGCAGGTTAGCAGGTGACGAGAAAGCTTCAATTCTATTGAAAATTAGGAAAAAAGTGAAAGGGAAGGAGAGCTCAAGAGCTGTTAGTAATGGAGGTAATAGGACCCAAAAAGAAGGTGCAAAAACTGGCATAAGGGCACTTTATCTGAATGCTCGGAGCATTCAAAACAAGGTGGATGAGTTGACGGTGCAAATCATGGCAAAAGGGTATGATTTAGTGGCCATTACAGAGACATGGTTACAGGATGATCATGACTGGGAGTTAAATATCCAGGGGTATCAAACTGTTCAGAAGGACAGACAGGAAGGTAAGGGAGGTGGTGTTGCTCTGATTTTTAAGGATGATATCAGGGCGGTAGTGAGAGATGATATAGGTTCTACTGAACAAAACGTTGAATCCATTTGCGTGGAAATTAGGAGTAGCAGGGAGAAGAAGTCACTGATAGGTGTGGTCTATAGGCATATAGACATCGTGGTGGGGCGGGCAAGAAACATAGAAATAGCTAATGCATGTAAAAATGGTACAGCAATTATCATGGGGGATTTTAATCGACATATCGATTGGTCAAACCAGGTCGGTCATGGCAGCCTTGAGGAGGGGTTCATAGAATGCATCCGCGATAATTTCCTTGAACAATATTTAATGGAACCTACGAGGGAGCAAGCTATCCTAGATCTAGTCCTGTGTAATGAGACAGGAATAATTAATGATCTCACAGTTAGGGATCCTCTCGGAAGAAGCGATCACAGTATGGTCGAATTTAAAAAACAGATGGAGCGTGAGAAGGTTAAATCCAGTACCTATGTCCTGTGCTTAAACAAAGGAGACTATGGAGAAATGAAGAAAGAGTTAGCTAAGGTAGAATGGGAGCAAAAACTTTATGGTGGGTCAATTGAGGAACAGTGGAGGACTTTCAAAATGATTTTTCACAGTGCTCAGCAGAAGTATATCAGTGATAAGGAAGAACTGTAGGAAAAGAGAGAGCCAGCCATGGATGTCGAAGGAAATAAAGGAAAGTATCGGATTGAAAAATAAACACATACAAAAAAGCAAAGAGTAGTGGGAAACTAGTAGACTGGGAAATCTTTAAAGGCCAACAGAAAGCCACAAAAAACATTATGAAGCAAAGTAAGATAGATTATGAGAGTAAACTAGCTCAGAATATAAAAACAGGCAGCAAAAGTTTCTATAAATATGTAAATCGTAAAAGAGTGGCAAAGGTAAACATTGGTCCTTTAGAGGATGAGAAGGCCAATTTAATAACTGGGAATGAGGAAATAGCCGAGACATTAAACAGTTATTTCGTGTTGGTCTTCACAGTGGAAGACACAAATAACATGCCAAAAACTAATGGCAAGAAGGTTACAGCAGGCGAGGACCTAGAAACTATCATTATCACGAAGGAGGCAGTGCTGGGCAAGCTAATGGGGCTAAAGGTAGACAAGTCTCCTGGCCCTGATGAAATGCATCCCAGGATATTAAAAGAGGTGATGGGGGAAATAGCAAATGCGCTAGAAATTATTTACCAAAACTCACTGGACTCTGGGGTGGTACCTGCAGATTGGAAAACAGCCTATGTGACACCACTGTTTAAAAAAGGAAGTAGACAAAAAGCAGGTAACTATAGGCCAGTTAGCTTAACTTCGGTAGTGGGGAAAATGCTTGAATCTATCATTAAGGAAGAAATAGCAAGACATCTGGATATAAATTGTCCCATTGGAAACACCCAGCATGGGTTCATGAAGGGTAGGTCATGTTTAACTAATTTGGTGGAATTCTTTGAGGACATTACTTGCATGGTGGACAATGGGGAACCTGTGGATGTGGTGTATCTGGATTTCCAGAAGGCATTTGACAAGGTGCCGCACCAAAGGCTGCTACATAAGATAAAGTTCCACGGTATTACAGGTAATGTATTAGCATGGATAGAGGATTAGTTGACCAGTAGAAAGCAAAGAGTAGTGGGTAAATGGGTGTTTTTCTGGTTGGCGGTCAGTGGCTAGTGGTGTGCCTCAGGGATCAGTGTTGGGACCTCAATTGTTTACAATTTACATAGATGATTTGGAGTTGCGGACTAAGTGTGGTGTGTCAAAATTTGCAGATGACACTAAGGTGAGTGGTAGAGCAAAGTGTGCAGAAGACCCTGAAAGTCTGCAGAGGGCCATCGATAGTCTAAGTGAGTGGGCAAAGGTCTGGCAGATGGAGCACAATGTTGATAAGTGTGAGGTCATCCATTTTGGTAGGAATAACAGCAAAATGGACTATGTTTTAAATGGTAAAAAATTGCAGCACGCTGCTGTGCAGAGGGACTTGGGTGTCCTTGTGCATGAATCGCTGAAGGTGGGATTGCAGGTGCAGCAGGTGATTAAAAAGGCAAATGGAATTTTGTCTGCCATTGCTAGAAGGATGGAGTTTAAAAACAGGGAGGCTATGCTGCAGCTGTATAGGGTCCTGGTGAGGCCACACCTGGAGTACTGTGTGCAGTTTTGGTCTCCTTACTTGAGAAGAGATATACTAGCACTGGAGGAGTTGCAGAAGAAATTCACTCGGTTGATTCCAGAGTTGAGAGGGCTGGATTATGAGGAGAGACTGAGAAGACTGGGATTATACTCACTGGAATTCAGAAGAATGAGGGGAGATCTTATAGAAACATATAAGATTATGAAGGGAATAGATAAGGTGGCGGCAGGGAGGTTGTTTCCGCTGGCAGGTGAAACTAGGACTAGAGAGCATTGCCTCAAAATAGAGGGAAGCAGATATAGGACTGAGGTCAGGAGGAACTTCTTCACCCAAAGGGTTGTGAATCTGTGGAATTCCGTGCCCAGTGAAGCAGTTGAAGCTACCTCGCTGAATGTGTTTAAGGCAAGGCTAGATAAATTTTTGAACAGTAAAGGAATTAAGGGTTATGGTGAGTGGGTGGGTAAGTGGAGCGGAGTCTCAAAAAGATCAGCCATGATCTTATTAAATGGCGGGGCAGGCTCGAGGGGCCAGATGGCTTACTCCTGCTCCTCGTTCTTATGTTCTTATGTTCTTATGTATTCAAAACATTTTGCAATGAAACCCAACATGCCATCTGCCTTACTAATTCCTTGCTGTATCTGTATATTTGGTTTCAGTAACTGGTGCATGAGGACATACAGGCCCCTTTGTACGTCAAGAAGGCAGCACCACTAGCTACTCCAAGCACAGTTGCATGGAAAATTGTTGAAACTTCAAGACAGTCAGGGAGCAAAGGTAAATGTAATGACCATCATTAAGGAGAAGATGCTGGGTAAGCTGACAGGTCTATGTTGTGATGTTGACAATTTAGCATGTGATTATTCCTTGATGTGCTCATGAGGTTCAATAGATTTCATTATTTTATTAGGTTCACCATCTCTGCTCCCTGGTTTTAGGCTTTTGTTTTTGAGAACTTGTAGTTGTTTATAAAATTAAATGGCTTATTAGTTCATTTCTGAAGGTACTAAGAGTTAAGAGAAGTATATGAAATCCTCACAAGGGCGAGTGAGATTATAATCCAAAAATTGGTGGGGTCTGTTATACATTTCTGTGAAAGTCCAGAAATAGTGATAAGAAAAAGTCCAGAATACAAAATCTTGGAGATGAGAGATGGATGCAAATGTTTACAATACCTTAACTGTTGTATCCCTGTCTTGCAACCACAGCTGGTTGAATCTTTGAAATTGTTCTAGTGCCCTCACGACTGTATCCCTGGTGGTGTTGACAGAAGTAGACAGCATTGCGACTAATTTGGTTACATCTTTATGTTCTGCTACATTGTGATAAAAATTCTTCGGCTTCCTTAAATTCCTGTTTTCATTTATTTCTGTTTAAAGGACAAGTTTACACTTTTTAAAGACAAAAAACTATCATAATACCTTGTATTAATATAGTATCTTTAATGGAGTAAAGCACCATTAAGTGTTTTAGTTGTATCCGGAGAGCTTCTGATCATCTAAAAATATAGAAATGAGTAAGTTTAAGGGAATCCTGCTCTTTAGGTGCAAATGTGACAGAACAGAACCAGACCTGCCCAAATATAAATACTTAGAGCCTGACCCACATTGTGAGATCAGGACAATTTTACAGCTGGTTAGTCTGCCTGTGTCTGCAACGGTACTTCAATGGCATTAAATCTAATATGTACCTCGGGGGTGGTCTTCAAATTGAAAAGAAAAACATGAAAAGTTCTCATTTCTGAATGGACCTGACTTCGCTCCAAAGGGTAGGCTTTCCCAGAATCAGAGAATAGTTTCAATACGAAAGGAGGTCATTTAGCCTGCAATGTCTGGGCCAGTTCTCTGAATTCGCAATTTACTCAACGTCAATCCCTGCTTTCTCCCAATAATCCTGTACACTCTTCCCTTTTAGATAATAATCCAACACCCTTTCGAATTCCTGAATTCAATCTGCCACTACTGCACTCTGTCATTACAATCCAGATCCTAACTTTCTGCATGAAAATGTTATTCCTCCTCGTGATTCTCAATATGTCTGTCAAATTTCTGTTCAACCTTCTCTTCTCAAAGGATGCTCCTCATTCCAGAAACCATATCAATAATGAAGATCTTACAAGCAGTACTTCCCAGGAAAATTCCCACCTGAAGTGGTCACATCAGCAAAAATATAGCAATGTCGCCAGCCAATGATAGGACAGGAGAAATGGGATGGAACATGAGCAAACTACCTCAATTTCAAAGATTAGGAATAGATCGGTGAAGGACCTGCTCTCTGACCTAACATGCCAAAAGAAATTTCACGCTCTTGAATTTCTGGACATCTAGATCTTATTAAAAAATGTTATAGATGTTCAAAAGTTCCTCTAAGTTTTAAAATGACTTGGCATTTTGTAATTCAGCTTCTTAAGCCTAAATATATTCTCTGGTAACTACTGCTAAAATAGTGAGTTATGAGCCAATATTGTCATGCTTTTGAGCCTATCACTTATCAGTTTTATGGTTCTCCTGAAAACTCGTCATATTGTCATTCATTGTTTATGATCCTATAATGTATTGCTTATAATCCTGTGCATATTTAAGCTTTTGTCTTGTAGCAGTCTCAAACCCGGTCACATGTATGTTTCCGCATGTCACTTCCACACTTGCTCATTGAAGTAACTCCACCGAGGCTGGTATCCCATCACCAAGCCACTCTGTGTTTACATGTGGAGAGTCTTTGACACTGATCCAGCTTCCTCAGAGCCAGCTGTCAGAGTGAACACAACCTCTGACACTCCTGTTTATATCTGTCAGGCAGGGTATCCCCAAGTGGACCAAATTAATATCCCAACCAGGGAACTCAAATTCTATGAAGTCCACCTGGCTGATCTCATTATAATCACTTATCTCAGGTGCCACATTGTAAAATGCCAGTTACCCCAGGTAGAATCCTATATTCTTTCTGAAAAATACTTTTGAAAACTGCACCGTATGTGGCTTTATGGATGTCCTTGCCTAGGAGAAGAGATCATGGGTACAATGATAGTGGTTAAAAATTCAATGGCGGAATCCTTCACCAATTGCCAGTTCTGGTGAAGGATACGAAGGTAAGAACTTGAGAAGAGTCATATTGGGCTCAGAACATTACCTCTATTTCTCTCTCCACAAATACTGCCAGACCAGTTGTGTTTCTCCAGCACTTTCTATTTTATTTCAGAACTCCAGCATCCACAGTACTTTGCTTTTATTTATTTGTATGTTAGGAGAACAGTGCTAGATTGGAAATCCAATGCCCATGATTGTCATTGTAACCTTCAGGAAATAAAATCCAAGTATAATGACACAATGCTGCCTGTACCCGGTGTGGCTTCCTCTACATCGGGGAAACCAAGCGGAGAC